CAGCCCCTCTGGGCAGCCTGGGCCAGGGCTCCGTCACCCTCAGAGGGAAGAAGTTCTTCCTCATGTTCAGATGGAATCTTTGATCCGACTGAATGTAGAACTGCCCCAAAGCATCATCAGGGCAGGAACTAAACTGCCTCAAGTTGCGTCAGGGCAGGTTCAGATTAGATATGAGGAAAAATTTCTTTCCTGCAAGAGTGGTCAGGCCTTGGCCCAGGCTGCCCCGGGCAGTGGGCGAGTCCCCATCCCTGGAGGGGTTCAGACACCGTGTGGCTGTGGCACTTGGGGACAGGGTTTAGCAGGCAGGGGCGTTGGGTTCATGGTTGGACTTGATGTTCTTCGAGATCTTTTCCAACCTTAATGATTCCATGGTTCTATGATTCTGCCCTTCTGAAACCTCTGCGAGAGCTAAATGAGTGCATTTGGTTTCCTTTTACATAAACTGACTTTTCCAGAAAGCAAACCACCTTTGTGTTGTCCACAGCTTGAATGGAAGATCTCGTTATCGATAGCAGAATATCTATACTTGGGCCCTTGAATATTTCTGCCCAAGCAGATGGATTGCTGTATTAAACCAGCAAAATGGAGTGGAAAACATAATAAACTCAAATTCAGGATGGCCATTTCATTTACAGCCTCACAGCATGGCAGGGGTTGGCAGGGACCTCTGGAGATCCCCCAGCCCAACCCCTTGTCGAAGCAGGGTCACCCAGAGCAGGGGGCACAGCACCGTGGCCAGGCGGGGCTGGGATATCTCCAGGGGGGATTCCAAAAGCCGAGAGATTCCAAACGAGATGAACTGGCACATCCAGTCCTCTTTTTCTTTGCTCTTAGAAAACTGAAGTATAAATACTTTGTACTTCCCATGGACAGTTGCTCCCCACCTCACCAACACCCGTCCATCTCTGGGCAGAACATACAAGCACGGGCTCCAGATCTCAGCTAGGGTAACAGCAGCTCAAGAGCGGCCATCCGAGCCGCTCTGTCTTTCTGAAGCCGACCAGCATCACCCGAGCTGGCGTCCTCCTTGGCCCAGCACTCAGGCTGCTCCCTGGGGGCAACAGGGAGGCCTCCAAAGCAGAACCACACACCACTCCAGTTAATACTAAAGAAAATAGCATGAGACAATGTTTTCTACATAAGGATTTGGAAGCAAGGCTGCTTTCTTCCTTCTGAGACAGCTCTACGTTTTGGGTTAGGTCATTTCCATTAAACTGACTATTCCTGGGGTTTTTTTGTAAAGACAAAATAAAAAGTAGTGAAGTTTACTTCCGCACCTGGAGTCTGAACTACCTGATCAGGTCTAGTTTATCTTACACAAGAGGCATGCAGCTCATACCTGGAAATAAAACATGACTACTAATTAATCTAGCTTTCTTGATGGAGGTACCAGTGCCTTGAGAGCTTGTTTGCAAACGGGACCCAGACTCCAGTTCTGCAGGTACGTAACGTTTCAGTCCCAAAAACACTTAGGAGATGGGGGGTAACAGTAAACTAAGCTAAGCTGGAACCAAAGTGTGACTGCATTTTACTGGTATGGGTACTCCACTCACCTGATTTCCTTAAGTCCTTCTTTCTGGATAACTTGAAGGATCTCTTTATGGCTCATAGGTGTATTAGGATATTTCTCCAGGACCTGGCAAGCAAAAGCAGATGGAGAGGAAGTTACTCATTTGCAGAATGAGAAGAAGATTACATTTAATGGTCTGGACATCTCCAAGGATACAAGCAAGGAAGAGCTACTGGCCTCCTCACATCTCATTAGCATCCCTTCCATCTGGAGAATATAAGGAGCAAAGAGACTCCAGAAGTCTGGCTAAAGGGCTTATTTGAAGTGCAATTCCCAAATTTTATTTCAAACGCACTGCCCGTAGATAATGCTTCTTGGAGAAATCAATGCTCCACAGTAACAGGGTGGCTTCACCACCATCGCTTGGGAATGCTTCAGAGGTCCCTCAGATATCAAACTTCCCAAAACCACATTCTTCACGTTCGCAAAGTTGAAACCAAGACTTACCAAACTGATCAGTAGTTAAGAAGTTTAAGGAAATTTGGCGTTTATCACTGTAAGGGTTATTTGAAAATCTCTGCACACTGTTCAGCGTTAAAGTTTGTAAATATGGGCTACAAAAATGCTCCCTACCTCAGGTTGTCAAACACCCTCCCCCCTTCCCCAGCCCACGCCACGCCAGCGCCCGAGGCCACTCGCCTCCCTTTCAAGAGGGCTAAGATGCAAAAGTAGAATTCAGAGCACTGGATGGAGAGATGCCGAAGACTTCTGCGGGAAGACGCCAGCTCCTAGACGTCATTTGGGTATTGCAAGCAGTATCTGTGCTGGGGGATGGGCAGCAAGTGCCTTGTTTCCTTCTGAACACTCCGCTTCTGACCCGTGCCCGGCGCAGCAGCCCTTGAGTCCTGACTTGTGTCCTTAGCCAGAAAACAAACCATCACCACACGCAGTATGAAACCCTACAAGTGACTCTGCAGAAAGAGATTCCCAGACTGAATTTCCCTGTTGACAGGCTGTGCAGCATACAGAATCCCAGCATGGTCGGGGCTGGCAGGGCCCTCTGGGGTCACCCAGCCCAACCCCCTGCCCAAGCAGGGTCACCCAGAGCAGGGGGCACAGGACCGTGGCCAGGCGGGGCTGGAACATCTCCAGAGAAGGAGACTCCACAGCCCCTCTGGGCAGCCTGGGCCAGGGCTCCAGCACCC